TGTGTGTGTGTGTGTGTGTGTGTGTGTGTGTGTGTGTGTGTGTGTGTGTGTGTGTGTGTGTGTTGGTTCAGAGGTCAGCATGATCCCATGCTCATGAGCAGGTGATGCGTTCAGTCTGTCTGAAGAGTATCTTCAGAAGCCTCCGTCAGAGCTCCAACTCTGAGCTTCTGCACGTGTCTCTGATTCAGTTCAGCTTTATTGACACAGAGCTTCACAGAGAAACCCACCAATCAGACCCCTCCATATGAACAAGCAGGAAGGAAACAGGCAGAAACCTCCAGCAGAACTGGGCTCAGGGAGGGGCTGCTAAAGGGTGCACTGTTAGGGGTGTGGCCTGTTAGACTGACAGGTGCCTGCTCTCTGTTCTGTCCCGGTTCTGTTGGAAGCTCTTGGAAGTGTGTACTAACGGTTCATCTTCACCTGCACATCCACGCTCCTGCCGGACGCACAGTTGCACAATTTAATGTGACAGCAGCAGGCGGCGTCCTGACGGGACCTGTCAGTCATCCTCAACACACACACCGACAGAAACATCACACAAACACACACACAGACGGTCCCTGGTGTGTGTGTGACGAGTTTAGCCTGCAGCCAAAAACAGCTATTAGCAAATCAAAGAAGCTGCTAATGACACACACACACACACACACACACACTCTATGACGGGTGGAGCTGTCTCAGTGAGATCTTCGCAGGAGTGAGTCTCACATGAGAAGCTGAGATGTGACGAGCCGTGTCCATCTTTCGTTTACAGTCTGAGGTGTAAACAGCTTCTGTTTGTTCTGCTTCTCTGAAGTTTTGACACAAAATGTTGTTAAAGCTTTGCTCGCTAATGTTGCAGCAGAGCAGTTCAGTATTGGCGTACCTGTCGAAACCAAGTGAAAGCAGAGTAATAAAGATCAGCCGACCTGTGGCGGTGGCTGAGGGTAGCCGAGGGCAGGCAGGTATGTCCTGAACCAATCACAACACATGGTTCTTTCCCTTCATTACATAAAATGTTCCCTCAAACTATACCAGACTGAAGTCTCGAACACCGCTCTCTTTCCTGACCTTGTAGAAAAATCAAGGCAGTGTATTTCATTTTGAATGTACTCTGATTTTTAAACATGGAATAAACTTCCTGTCTGCCATGTTTGATCACACGGGTCCAGCAGCTGATCCACGTATGTGGCAGTTTCTGTTTCTTTATCGTGTAGAGACACAGACGTATTGTTGAACTTCTTCACACTGAGCAACAATAAAGAAGCAGACTAGAAACCCCCCTGTGGGACTGCAGAGCCCTGAGCGGACACCACAGACACCCCCCTGAACCTGTGCTGCGACTGGGTCCTGCTCAAAGCTGCAGTAGTGCAAAAGAAGGCAGAATTCTTCCAGACCTCCTGCAAAAAGCCCCGCCCTCTCAGACCTCCCGGCAGCGCAGGTAACCTGGGACAGGTGCCGCCGATCTCGCTTGCAGGCGAGTCTTTATTTGTCTGGATGCGTTTTGAGCACGATGCCGCTTGAAGGCGTTCAGTTTGTGTCGCTGTTGTTGTGACAGCTGCTCCTCCGTCTTTCATTGCCTTAAACTGATCTGAAAGCAGCCCTCGCAAACGGGACGTGATGCTAACGAGGAGCGTCGGCGAGGAGCGGCCCGTGTGAATATAACACACATGATGTGACAGCAGCATCCCTTTGATCAGCTCGTCCTCGGGGAGAACGCTGCTCGGCCTGCTGGGAATCGTAGTAGGACACAACGGAGACCAGAGCGCTAATTATCATCAATCACAGACGCAAGTGAGGCGGGTAACGGGGGACGTTTCTAACAGGGGGGACATCAGGGGGGACGTTTCAAACGGGTTGTGACATGTGGCACCGACGATCTTTGACCCAGGTCTGTGCAAACACGGCACAAATGTTTAATGATGCTTTAAGCTAACCGGACTGTGAGGTTGACTCACCCGGTGGAAGCAGTCCATCTCCTTCAGCCTCTGCTGAACCAGTCCAACCAGCACCCCCTCCGAAAGCTCCTAAACACACAAAACACAGGTCACACGGGCATCAGGATGATGCACAGAATGAACAAACGGGCTCTAGACAGGAGGACCAGGGAGGGGTCGGGCAGTTTGGTCACAAAGTGACAACACTGAGGTCAGACTTCATCACTCCGCTCAGAGTCAACAATGATCAGATACAGACATCAGGAAAAAGCAGGTGTACCTGCTCGGCGTGCAGCTCTGATCGGTACTGCAGTAAACTGCCTTCGGTCACGTGAACAGCTCTCAGCTCGGCGCTCAGCTTTTTGGCCTGAAGAAAACCCCCAAAAAAACATAGAAGAAGAAGAAACGTAAACGAGCAAGCAGAGGTCAGCTGAAAGTTTCCCACGCTCACTTGAACTCACCACGGTGTGTTTGCCGACAGCAGGAGGTCCCAGCACCATGACCCTGGGGACTGACACAGATCAGACGTCAGAAAACAAGCTGGTCACATGACCTGCAGTCTGACTGTTTCCTGCTGCAGACGCTTGCCAAAGATCACCACCGATTGGAGAAATGAAACTCCTTACTGTCCTTAAACACAACACGCTGCATTCAAAGTCTCGTGGACACACGACCACATCAATATTTTAGAAGAGCGTTGAGAGCGACGTCAGAACAAAGAACCACGACCTATCATTAGCGGTTTGTGAGTGCAGTGGTGTCCGTCTGTGCTGATGTTGCTGGAGTCAGAGCGCCCCCTAGGGGCGGCATCATGTTTCTGCCTCGGCTGTGTTTCGGTCCTTCTCTTGGCCCGATGTATTTGTTAGTTTGTGCTTATTTAAGCTTTTTATTGCTCATTGTGTAGCTGACGTCAGAGAACCTCGTGTGTTTGTGTCTTCATCGTTGCCAGTTTCCGGTGCTGAACTCTAATCCTAACTGAACAACGGTTTAGGACTGACACTAAGCATTTCAGATGTGCATAAAAGCATTTGTAAAACGTGGTGTCTGATGAGCCCCATAGTTGCGTCTCATTTTTAATAACGTCAGAATAAATTCCTGACTCAAAGCTTTACAGGTGTGCGAGCGTTTCGTTGGAGTTTCCAGATATCGCAAACGTCCTGTATGTGTTTCTGTGATAAAAATGATGAATTAAGGCTGAGACCATTTTAAGACTTTATATTCTGTCCGGTCTGCGTTTAAAGACAATTTTAAAGGAATGCTTTAAGCCATAGGTGTCAGACTCTGGCCCGCGGGCCAAATTTGGCCCGCAGCCTAATTACTTTTGGCCCACGAAGCCATACAAAATTACTATCAGAGCTGGCCTACTGGTATTATACAGCTAATATATATATTGTTTAGTATTAAGCTTTGCTGTTCCATATTCAGTTTTTCAGCAAAACGTGTTTGAGTCCAGAAGAAAAGATTCATTCTTATATCTGGAGGAAGATTTTTTTTTTTTCAATAAATATTAATGTTAGCCCGCGACTTTGTTCCAGTTTTGAATTTTGGCCCACTGTGTGTTTGAGTTTGACACCCCTGCTTTAAGCGATGCTAACAAATAAAAGCCATCAGGGACACGACGGCGACCTCACCATCATCGCTGCTCCTCTGCAGAAGCCCGATCAGGTAGGAGATCGGATCAACAGGCTGATCGATCACCAGGCTGCACAGCATGCTCTGAAACATACACACAGTGAATGTAGAGCAGCTTCACGCGTGGGAAACCTGCAGCTGCACCTTTACCTGCACCAGCTGGGCCACGTTGTGTTTGTCGGCGTAGACGAACGCCTGAGGAGGAATCGTCAGAGGCCTCACCGTCTCATCCATCAGGAAGTCCCTGAAAGCACCACCAGGCCCACCACACACAGATCAAACACTGATATTCTGTCCCGACTCCCCTGAACGCCGCACGCCGACCATCTCCTGTACTCAGGGTTAGGGAGCCAACGGGCCCACAAATAAAGGGCTGTCAGCTGAATACACAACATACACTAACACACAACTGTTCAAACATTTTCTGACAACAATAAAACATGAATGTTTTAACGGTCAACTTGATTTTATCTTTTAAAAAGTTGACGTCCGCTTTCAGAGCTCCACTTCTGGCCTCTCACCTGTCCAAACACCTCTCACCGTTTCCCAGGAACTTTCTGTTGGCTGCTGAAGCGCGGGAAACATTAACAAACGTTTCGCGCTCAGACGTATCCGGTAAAATCCGAACTTTGGCACAAAAACGACGTTAAAACCGAAAATAACGATAACACCAAAACCCTTCCCGCCTCTTCGCTCTCGGGACGGTCGCTACGACGCGTTGGTCGGTTGCTAGGGAACGACGTCATCACTGCCCGTGCAGGGCAAATGGTGCAGAGTTCACGAGGGGACGTTTCTTGAACGGTTAACTAAGGACGATCGATCAGGACCCGACTGACGTCAGAAAAGTCTCATTTCCGCACGTTTGGCGCATTTTTAATCACCTGAGCCAGAACCTGAAGAAAAATGGCGCCTTTAAATCCGTCAGTGAGGAAAACATCAGGTTAGTTTTCCCTATAGTGTCAAATATTCAGATTAAAATACCCGGAAAATACAATCACCCCCAAATTGCATATAAAAATTAATATAAAACAAAGATTAGTAATAATCTAATTATAACAAATTTAATTAGTAATAAATGTCATATTCATGGTGTCAAATATTAATAAGAGAATTCATTTAGAAACAAAGTTCACAAATTCCCTTAAAATAATGTTGGTTTTCAAATATATCTTAAATGTGTGGCAAATCTTTTTAAACAAAGAGCATTGAAAAGTGTGACAACTTTAACAAAGAACGCACAAACAGACGTTTACATCTTTATTTCTGTCACAGTGTTTCAGGAGCACATCTTTGGTTTGTCTGCAGTTACTGATCAGCTGACAAATCCATAAAGAAAACAATCATCAGTCGCAGCGTTTAATTTGGCATGAAGCACTTTTTGGCTTAAACAGGAAAATCAGCTGAAACACAGACTGTAGAAAAAAGATGGACAAAGGCACATCACCGACTCTGAAGCTTCAGCGTTACAGTTTCAGCCGCGTCACTTTCTTGTGATCAAATCCTGGAATTTGATTGGCTGATGCAGGCGGCTGTAGCTGCTAGCTATCTGCAAGGCTTCACCTCAGCTAACTGGAGTCCCTGAACTAGACTCCTTTTATCATAACTATGGATCAATACTATGGCTGAGACTATGGCGGTACTAGCAGACCGCCCAACAGACCACTCCCATCAGCACTGGATAGGAGCGACTGTCCTTTTGATTGGATGCCACTTATTAGAGGGCATTTTTGTTTGTGGATACTAGCCAGGCTAGCTGTAGATTTAATTCCCCTAATAGATAACAATCGTTACTGAAAGTTTGCTGATCTTGGATCAGCCTGCTTATTGCCTTATCATTATCATCTTTATTGCGCTTTTCCAGAGTGAGGGCGGAGCCCCTAGGAACCCCACCTCCTCCTCCCTCAGATGTGGGGCAGTGTCTCGTCGTAGTCCATGATGCTCAGTTCGTGTCTCCTCTGTTGGACGGCGAGTGTCAGGTCTACGGGGGCCACGATGGGGTCTGCGGCTTGGCTCAGCGGCTCAGTCTGAGGACTTCCTACAGGGAGTGATGCCTCCTCCACCTCCTGACCGAGTGGAGGGCTTGCTGGTTGGACATTCACCTCCTCCTCCCCGACCTCCACCTCCTCCTCCTGGTTCTGATCTGTGGGTCTGAACAGCTGTCGGGCTCGTTGCTCCAGGAAGGAGCCGACAGCCAGCGGGGAGTCGATGGGGGAGAGTGAGAGGGACATGGGGGAGGTGGAAAGGACCTCCACTGCTCCGTTCATGATCCCAACAGCAGAAGAAAACGGGAGGAGGGACTTTTGGCTTCCCTGAGCATCAGGTAAGGCTCTGCTGTCGGATCTGGAGGACAGTATGACACAGAAAGGCAAACATTTATCAACAACGCACATGTGGAGAATAAAAGCACAGACACTCGTCCTGGTTCTGCCCGTCTCATTAAATCATTTTGGACGTCTCTGTGGGATCGAGGCGTCCTCGGACGATGGCCCTGTTTACCTGCTGACGTCCTGCAGCTCGCCGTTTGGGTGAGCCCCGCCTCCCACGATCTGACCGTACAGCTGAAGCATCTCGGTCTGCAGCGCCTGAGTAACTCTCCTCAGAGTGGCACAGCGGCTCTCCGACGCCGACAGCTCTGCCCTGAAAGCGACATACGCAGTCTGAGTCCGACGCTTCCCGTGTGGAGAGTTCCAGAAGGTGAAGCCGGACTGACCTGTTCTGGTTCTTGGTGTCCTCCAGCAGTTTTTTCTGGCTCAGGATCAGCTGGTCTTTCCTGGCCTGCTGGCTCTCCAGCTCCGTGATCCTGTGATTGGCTGCTTCCAGCTTCTGTCTCTGCTGGACATCGTTGTCCTTCAGCCTCAGGAACTCCTTACCCACACTGCACTGCAGCATGGACGCCTCCTGACACACAGCAGAGTACATTTAGAACAGCGCACGCTCCATTCATCATAGTGGCCACATTTGCATTACACAAAAGGGTCAGCAGAGGGCGGTGTGTTGTTGAGAGAGTCAACTCCCCGACTTACGTCTGAGAAAGCGTAAAAGGTGTGCTATCGTTACAAGATGGCGCCAAGTATGGCAGCCT